GGGGGGAAGGGAGCTCAGAAATAAATAGAGAGAGGAGGAATGGGGCTATGGGAAGGTAGGTGGGATGGTGATAGGTAGGGCATGGTGGGGATTGGTCAGTAAGGTGGGAGGAGTGGATAGATGGGAGAGAAGGTGGACATGTTGTGTCACGTCAAGGAGGTGGGGATGAGAGGGAGGGTTGGTCATGGGATGAGGCCGGGGTGGGGGTGGGGAGATTTTAAAACTGGTGAATTCTATGTTTCAGCCATTGGGCTGTAGGCTCCCGAGATGGAATGTGAGGTGCTGCTCCTCCAGTTTGCGGGTGGTGTCAGTGTGACACTGGAGGAGGCCCAGGATGGACATGTCACCCAGGGAGGTGGAGGGGGAGTTAAAATGGTTGGCAACCGGAAGGTGTTGTTTGAGAATGAGAATAGTTTTGTTTATTCATAGAATGTGGATATCACCGGCTGGGCCAGCATTTATTGCCCTTCCAAGTGACTTACTACACTATTTCAGAGGGTAGTCACATCTAGGGTCTGAAGTCACATCTAGGCCAGACCAAGTAAGGTCAGCAGATTTCCCTTCCCAAGGGCATTCATCAACTAGATGGGTATTTGAGGCAATTGACAGTAGTCATCATCAGATTAGCTTTTAATTCAGACTTTTTTTTTATTGAATTCAAATATCATCAAGCATGATGGGATTTGAACCCATGTTCCCAGAGCATTAGTCTGGGATTCCAAATTACTCACTTAGTGACATAACCACAATGCCGCACCCTTCCCTTAATCGTTGGTGTACACCATGTCTAACAATGACTGCAGCAGTCATGTGCACAAAAAAGAAATGTGTTGATGCAGGCTTGGATGGCCGAAGGGCCTGTTCCTGCGCTGTACTGTTCTTTGTTCTTTGTTCGAAGAGTCTGTGCTACTGAGTACATCCAGAGAACAGTATTAAAGGTCACAGTGAAAACAGATGCTCACTTTTCCCACTATGTTTAGGCTCTGCTCACTCCTGATCCAGGCTTGTCCGTAGACAACTGCAGAAGTGTGCCAGAGGTAGAGCCAAAGGTCACCCAGAGTAAACACCTTTCGCGTTGTGTGTGCGTGAGAAAGAAAGAGAGAGTGAGAAAGAAAGACAGTGAGAGATGGTAAGAGTGAGAGAATGGGGGACAAGTATAGAGGATCTAGCCATTTATCTCATATACTGTCTGTGAGGCCTTGCTGTGTGAAAATTGGCTCCCACTTTATACGATCTAGAACAATAACCGCACCTTGAAAGTAATTCACTAACTGTGAAATGTTCCAGAACACCTTAAAGGACCTCAACAACATCTATGTAAATACAGAAAGTCCACCCATGAGCTGGGCAGAGTGCCAAAAACCAGCAAATTGGCAACAAGTTGGGAGACTCCCAATTCCCCTCTATTCCGCCACCTCCCTGCCCCATCTCCAAATGCATTAAGACATTTTTTTTAGGAAAGCTGAGTAAGGTTCAACATCAGTCACATGTATTCGGCCTCTAGGTCAGTGTGCTGTACACAGAAGATTGGTACTGCCTCAGGAACAGACTGCTAACAGAAGCCAGAACAATATCAAACACTCAGCAAGGTGTCAATAGTGTGTGCTCAAAGCATTTAATGCAAATTTTGTCAAAACATTAAATTCCACATCGATCTGAGCTGTTGACAAGTTGGATTCGTTTACAGGCAGCAACCTATTGAACTACCAAAGATTGATGCTTTGATGGCTCTGACAAAGACCTCCCCAAATAAATACACTCACCTGTAGGACATTTTTCATCAGTTGCTGACTTTCACTTTCCACAACATTAGCCCTGAAAAGGTTCAGAAGCCAAAGTTGTTGGACCACCTTGTCCACACATTATGTTTCATCCTGACACTGAGCAAGAAGGAGCTACATAACCCTAGATTTCTACCTTGGACGTTTTGGATTTAGCTCGTCTTCAGCATGATATGGGGCAGTGGTGGGATAAAGAGAAGTGCTATAACCCTAACTGTTGTGGGCGAGCATGGTTAAGGGCGAAAAAACATCAGCAAGAGTTCCCATCCCAAAGACTGGCAGAATCTTATTGCATATCAATATCTCAAAAGAAAAGAGGGAGAACATTTGAGCAGCAGAGTGTTTGAATAGCTCTAAAGATCTCAATTTCTCTTTCTTTCTCCAGCTAAATATTTATAACATTTTGTATAGTTCACATCAGAAACAGTTCATATAATAGACAGTGGAGGAGTTCACCTACTCTGACTTTTCACTAATTGGGAAAAGCATTCCCAGGAAGTAATAGAATCATGCAGCATGCAGACAGACCCTTCGCTCCAACTAATGTCACTCATTTTTCATGAGCTGGGTGAGAGCTTGTCCTAAGCAACTTTACTACAGCATCTTATTGACAGTGGAGGGAAAGAGTTGGTTTGATAAACTTTGGCTCATGGCTTTGGAATGGTCCTTGCACCCAAGAACGAACATCAATTTCCAATGCGAAAAGAATGTCTCCAAATACTGGAACAGTAAATCCTCAGAATGCCACTCTCCCACATTTACTCCTGGCATTGTGCCTCAACTGTTTTGTTGGCACACTGGATGCCAAATTAGAAAACAGTGTGAGCCAATAACAATGGATGATTTGGTTTCTTGCTCTGACAAAAGCACATCATTGCTTTGAACCAATCCTGGCTAATCAATGTAGAATCTCCAGTCCGAGCACCACCGAGCAAATTCATTGATACGGCAGAGTTGTGCAATTCACTAATTACTGGCTGTTAACAGAAAGCTTCTGCTCTGGAGAGGTGCAAGTGTGAGAGGCAAATATTGACAGCCAAATGCCAAGAAATATTTCAAAGCATTTTTTTTAAAAAACATGAAAGCAGGAGCAAACAGCTCGTTAGTTCATGCGCAATCAAACGGAACTTTAAAAACTATCCAAATCACTTGAACTGCTTGATTAGATTCTAGCCTGTAACTCCCTCCAGGTATCTGTTATTCTATATATAATCACCTAAGTTGTTTGATTAGATTCCAGTATGGAAACCCCTCTCAGTATCCATTGTTCTATGTATAAATAATTCAAACCTCTTGTGTGTAACTCACTCCAACCTATCCAATTTTTTACGTCTGATTTCAGCTTAGCGGTAGCCTTCTTGCTTTTAAGCCTAGACATACTGGCATTAGATGCAGTCTCAGAAAGGTCAACTAGGCTGACACCAGGGATGGAGGGACTGTCTTGCGGGGACGATTTGATTAGATTGGGCCTGTATTGGAATATATAAGAACGAGTGGTGACCTCATTGTATTTTACAAAGATTCTTAAGAGGATTTGACAGGGTAGATCTGGAAAGGTGGTTTCCCCTTGTGGGAGTGTCTAGGAGCAGAAGGCAAAATCTCAGAATAAGAATCACCCATTTAATACGGAATTCTTTACTGTTGAGGTTGGGTCGTTAAGTATATCCAAGCCTGAAACTGGCAGATTTTTAAACAGGAAGGAAATCAGGGACTACGAGGAAAAGGCAGGGAAGTGGAGTTGAGAGTTATCAGATCAGCCATGACCTGCAGAGAGGAAAGAGCTGCTAGGATTCAACCCAGAATATTTGGATTAGACCGTAAGGTGTAGGGGCAGAAGGCAGCCATTCAGCCCATCGCTGAATGGCCTCCTTCTGCCCCTATATCTTATGGTCTCTGCGTGCCCCCGACAATCCTGTGGCTCTGGTTCCTTTTGGCTTTGCCCAAGATCATGGACAACCTGCAAGTCGTCCAGAACTTACTGTCGAAGCTGCTGTGTTGCGTCGTGAGCATCATCTGCACCGTATGGCTGGCATTCCTCACCATTGCCTCGAATTCACTGAGGCTCCGTTTGGCCAAGTTGTCCTCCATTTCGCTTGTGCAGCAGGTGTAACCCTGTGGGCAGATCCGCAGGTGCTCTCCTGAAACACAACACACATCCAAAATGTGAGAATAAAGCTTGGTGGTGTTACGGACCAGACCAAAACCCCCTTAAAATATATTAAGAATGGCCCTAACTTTTTCTTACTTTAAAGGTGAGTGTAAGGCATTGCATTCTGGATGTAAATAGATTGGTCAAACTATCAGTCTTGAAGCAAAATATACCATATTCATACACTATAGTTAAAATAAAACATAAGAAGGAAGAAATTAGAATAACAACTCTATTGGAAAACTTAACAGAATAATAGATTATTTAACCATGAAACAGTAACTGTTCCAATATAGTAGCATCCTATAAACATACCCTTGGCAAAGGCAAATTCAGTGAAATACATTGTCTCACAGGCAGTACAGGTGGGAAAATATCAAGAAAAAAACTCAGCGTAGCAGGGAGAGATGTACTGTAGCGTCCAAACTCCGTTTCAAGAGCCCAACAACCATCACTGAAAAACTAGAACAAAAGGTCCTGATTCTGTGGGAGCTTGATCCCACCCATTCAGGCTGCTTCTATTGTTTCAACTTTAAAAAACCCAAGGCCTCCCAAGCTGTTTATTGGATTCAAAAAGACAGCTTGTCACCTCTGTCTTAAAACCTCTCGTGAGAAATAAAAGGACCAAATCCACCTCTTACAGCCATAGTATCATCACAGTGGAGGGGCTGAAAACAACTAAAAGCTTTCTTAAAGCATTTTCAAATTTTCACAAAATGTAATTTCCAATAGCCCATTGGAAGTGAAGGAACACTTAAAGTTTTCTGTTCTTAGCAGTCCTAACAGAAGCATTATTAAAGGTGTTCAAAATGATAAGGAGCTCTGATAGCAATGATAGGGACAAGTTGCTTCCACTGGAAGGAGCAGAGGGCAGGATTTAAGATCATTGGCAAAAATCAATGGTGAGGAGTTGGGGGAGCGGGGAGGCGGGGAAAGTCAGGAGACTTTTTTAAATAAAGGCAAATGAATTGAAACGGTTCAGATGTACTGCCTCTAAAGATGTTGAAAGCAGATCCAGCAAAAAAGAATTCAAAGGGAAATTTGATAAATACCCTTCTCAAGTAATGGGGAAAGAGGGTGAGTGGGATAAACTGGATAGCCTTAGGCCAATATCTGAATAATTTGTGACATGATGTGGTAAGTATTTCATTATGTCTCATGATCAGTATAAATTTAAGGGCATGTTTATGAAATCATGACATTTAGAGCATGTTACCAGAAGGTCCAATAATCTCATACTCCATCTTAGCTCAGATTACTTGAAGCATGGCATGATATTGAAAACATGCTGTTCTGTTGTAAACTACTAGCTTAATACTAGCCCAGATACTTAATGTGCCTCAGCAATATAACGGTTGCATTTAAAATGTTGGTTGCAATAAGTATCTGTTGGATTCTTCTACATCACAACGTTCAGGCCCAATTTCTTACAATAGGGGAGATAACATGAACATTATCACAACACAACACCCTACCAGAGACAAATTCACACCAGTGAGAGTAGCAAGCTTGGGAGGAACAGGTGATTTTGGAACATGGTCTGCACCATGTGAGTTTTCTTCACATCATGTCTGGGAGTATGTAGATTAACTGATGGAGAGTGTCACTGCCCCAGTTCATCCACAACTCCATTAATACTGTATATTATGACAATTGCAAGATGAATTAGATGCATTTCGGTCTCTTGTCAATCAGTTACTCCTATGTTCCCATTTGTCATGCACTTACTGGGTAGGGCCTATATACACAATACCTTCAGACACTTCCAGCATCAAAAATTGAAAACAAACAGTTCACACATAGCTAATCACCCAACTGGTTTGAGGACCAGATTGTTTAGTTTTTGATTAGTGTGGAAATTTCCAAAATGCATGTTCCTGCGCTGCTAACCGGACACATTTATTACAAAAGCCTGTTGTTCTTCATCAAACTCCTTTTCTCCCCTCTCCTCAAGCAACTCCTAAAACACCAATTGCCTCTGGTAACTTGTCCAATTGTTTTGTTAAACACAAGCTCTTCCAACAGGCATATTTAACACTAACGAGGAGCTATCTTTAGTCACCTCTTCAAGCTACGTGCTAAATAATCATGACACTTGTACTAACTCTTCATTGTATGTAAATTAGCACAGACAAACTTAATCTGTAAGTTTTATGCAAACACTACATTATGTTACTGAGCCATGGGCTACTTGACATTAATTGTGTTGAATTTTCATTAGCAACAACATAGCTGAGCTACCCAGCAGTCCACCGGCAAAAGACACTTAAATAACAGCAAAATACTGCAGGTGCTGGGAAATGAAACAAACAGCAAATCCTGGAGAAACTCAGCAGGTCTGGCAACATCTGCGGAGAGAGAAACACAGTTAACCGTTTGTGTCTGGTACAACTCTTCTTCAAAACTGCCAGTTCTGGAAGTCATACCAGACTGGAAACACTGTGTCTTCGCAGATGATGCCCGACCTGCACAGTTTCCCCAGCGTTCCCTGGGTCATTTCGCTGGTCAGAGCTGCGGATCACAGGTTCAATCCCAGAGTTCATTCATCTCATCCAGTGCAACCCGAGTTGTGGATATGGCCTTGAAAGAGGTAAGGGTCAGCCGCTATCCCACTCCTGATTGTCACATAGTGAACCAAACCGAAAGCACAAGTAAAAGGAAAACCCAAGCTTCCTCGTTCACAACTCGCCACTCTCCCCACGACCTGTTAACATACACTTTCTATTTACTCACATTGCCTTTAGGTATACCAGACTGATTCCTGGGATGGCAGGATGGACATATGGAGAGAGACTGGATCAGTAATGCTATGTTCACCCGAGTTGAGAACAATCTGGAGGGGTTTCTCATAAAAGACAGATAGAATTCTAACATTAAACAGGGTAAACACAGGAAGGATGTTCCCAATGACCAAGAAGTCTAGAAATCAGGTCATAGACTAAGGACATGGCGTAGGCCACAAAAGACTGAGGAGAAATTTCTTCACCCAGAGGGTGGTGAGCGTGTGGAATTCTCTGCCACAGAAAGCGGTTGAGGTCAAAATGTGGAATGATTTCAAGGAGTTGGATACAACTCTTAAGGGTAAAAGGGGTCAAAGAGTATGGATAGAAATCACTCAGTGGGGGATGGATTGGTGGGCACATGGTACATGTTGGCTGTCAAGATTGACATGGCCCAAAACAATTGCCTCAGATCATCTGTGATGACAGGGACAAAGAAGAATACAAGTATTAGCTTTATTGTCATATGTACTCACATGAGTACAGTGAAAAGTTTACAAGTCAGCACTTACAGCACCATCGTGGGGGGTAAAATATTAGAATACTAGAGGAATAAAAAGTCCATCAATAAATAAGACAGAGAATTAAGGAGGTCAGAATTATAGTCAATTCCAACCCTGACCACACCAGGCTTCACCTCAAGGCCAGGAGTAGAGTCCACACTGAGGCCGGGAGTCCATGCTGGCTTTCACCTCAGACATCGCCAATGCTGCCCAAGGGAAAGAGGTAAAAACAAAAATAAAAAATAATGCAAAAAGAGACAGAGGAAAAAGTAAAGAAATGGACAGAGCTGACGGGCTCCAGCTCAGCTCTGCCACCATCTTGGAGAGTCGACCAAGAGATTTTAATTTGTAGTCTCTGAGCCCAAAGTTTTTGAATTCTTCGATAGGTGCATTAGTTGGCCATGTCAAAGGGCAGTGAAGAGTCATATGTAGATCAGACCTGGTTAGAAGAGTCCTCCACTACAAGGACATTAGTAAGCCAGATGGGGTTTCATGACAATCGATGTTAGTTTCATGGCCATCATTACAGAGAGTCATAAATCGGGAATGGCAAGCGAAGTAATTGAATTTAAAATCCTCCAGCTGCCCTGATGGGATTCGAACCCGCGTGTCCGGAGCATAATGCCGGGATGGCCAGTTCAGTGACTTTACTCTGGTCCCCCTGAAGATGTCGATCCTAATCACACTGCACAGATGTGAGCACTCAATCTAGGCTCCATTACAGTAGTGAGGCAGTGCATTGTTCATCCAAGAAGCCCAGTCAGTGAAGGATTGTATAGAAGACACCCTTTACATGCTAGGATATTTATTTGCACTTACACATTCCAAGCATGAACTTAAGGTCATAAGATGTAGGAGCGAGAGTAAGTCATTCAGCTCATTGATCCTCCTCCACCATTCAACAAGATCACAACTGATTTGACAATTCTCAACTCCGCTTTACCATAGATTCCTTTACTGTTTAAAAAATCTGGGTCTCTCACCCCTAAATACACTTAATTACCTAACCTCTGCAGTCCTCTGTAGTAAAGAATTCTATTGATTCATTGGCCTCAGATAAGAAATTCCTCCTCATTTCTGTCTTAAACATCTTACTGTAAGATGAGAGTCTCTTAGACTCTCCCCAAAGTGGAAACAACCTTTTCATTTTTACACTGTCAAGTCACCCAAGAATCTTGTATGTTTCAATAAGGTTGTCTCTCATTCTTTTAAATTCCATTGAGTACAGGCCTGACATTCTTAACCTCTCCACATAAGCCAGTCCCAGCAAGCCAGGGATCAACCTTAGTGAACCTTCACTGGACTGCCTCCAATGCCAGTATATCTTCCCTCAGATAAGGTGCCCAAAACTGATCACAGTATTCTAGACATGCTCTAACTAGTGCCTTGTAGAGATTTAGCAGAACCTCCTCACTTTTATATTTCATTTACTTTAACATAAATGCCCAACACTCCATTTGCCTTCCCCATTCCTACTCGCTAGCTCCTTGTGATTTATGTAAAAGAGGACTCCCAAATTACTGTCCTGTAGCTTTCTGCAGTCCTTCTTCATGTAAATAATACTCAGCTTTATCATCCCTGTGAAAGTGCATAACCTCACATTTTCTCCACATTATCTTACATCTGCCAAGCTCGATGGTCATCTTAACCCTACAAGCAATTTTAGTCCATGTCTATTTGAAGAGGCTCAAGTGAATCCTTGGTTA